TACCTTGAACAAATGGTCCAGGTCTCAGCTCCAAACACTCAAGGACAGCTGGGGTCCAGAATCCATTGGGATGAATGAAAGAGAGGCTCAGGATAAACAGTAAATGCTTGCGACATGGTTCCAAGTGACTGACATGGATGTGTAGTCCCTGTTGCCAAAGAACGTTTGTTTCAGGGAATTGAAGATACCTACAGCCTTTCTGGTGGTGGTGAGTGATATGGAGATGCTGGGGTGGGACTTGGCTGTTAGTCACAATAGTTGCAAACACTAATGTCTCTGACAACAAACAAGGATGTTTTGAAGTTGGTCCCTGAAACATGGGCTCATCCCCTACTTATTCCTTAAATACCCAAGACTTTCATAACCAGGGCCTGCCCTGGGCCCTTTCCACATACCTCACCAAACATGGTGGCTGATTCCCCTAGGAACGTGAGGTCTGAGGTCAAAATCCCTGGTAACCTGAGCTGGAAACCATTGAAAAAGAAGACAAAGTGAGGAGCATGTGGTATCTAAAGTAGAATTTTAAAAAACTTATGTCACATTCATATAAAGGTATATATAGTATAGTACTACAATGAAGAACAAACACAGTACACCATAGGGCTTATGAATGTAATACTGAGAAAAATAAGGCAGACACAATAGATTACATAGAATACGTTTCCTTTCAAGTAAGATTTGAAAGAGGGGCAAATGGCAATGTTCAGGAATGTATGCTTAGGTGGAAAATGAAACAGAGAGAGGGTCTTATCATAAAAGTTCAGATGATGGTTTTGAGAAGAGAGAAAGCAGGCTGGTGCGGGTAGTGGCAATGTTTTATTCATTGACGTGGGGGACAGTCACAAGTGTAAGATTCATTAGGCTGTGTATTGTGGTTTCTTGTATTTTCTGCATAATTAATATATGTTTAAAAAAATCATGGAGAGAACACGGGCCAAAATAACGATTTACATTGGTGAGCATGCATAAAAATAAACAAAAAAATCAGAAAACTTATATTTTTCTTTGAGGGAAATTGAATGGTAATGAAGATTAAAGTAATATAAGTATATAAGTAAGAATAAGATATCTTGCAACAGATTAATGATGCTTAGATTCTGGAAGCCAAGGACTATACATAGTTCAGACTCTGAAAGTGAGGCCAACACTGAACAAAGCAAAACTTAAATATAAAAGTTAAAAATGAATTTGAAATATCTTGACATTGTTCAAATTTCAAAAGCTATACCAGGGCGAATGTGGGAATGACATTTCAGTTCCTCTGCTCCAAGTGACCCCCTCTCCAGGTTTCCTGTGTATCCTTCACAGCAGGCTTTTAGTGGCGGTGAGAACACATTACATAAGTGAACCAGAGAGGGCTGGTGCTGGTGCAGATGTGGACATAACTGGGGACAGAAGAGCCAGGTGTGGAAGCCCAATGCATTGGGGTTGGAGGGGGCCTAACTCAGGCTCAGTGATGGGCCTGGTCCCAGGGTGCCCAGGGCCTGAGCAGTCCCCTCACTCATGGCCGGATCTTCTATGGGAAGCAGAGAGCAGGAACAAGGATTCCTCAGTGAGTCAGCAGGGCCGTTCCCCAGAGGTCCCCAGGCCTCATCCTAACCTCCAAGCTCCTGTCGCCTGCACCTGACTGACTCCTAAGCAGACTGTTTTGCATAAGGGAAGGAGGGACATCATTGAAGAATTCATAGGAAGGCCTCATCATGGTAGGGGAAGCAACATTGCCCAATTTCCTGCTGGCTCATTGCATGGTGATCACCATCCCTGAGTCTAGACAGTGGCTTCTTTGATGGGATCAGGCAGCCCCTGGAGCTGCAAAGGGAAGTTCAAGAGTGTGGGGCTAACGCCAGAACTCAGAACTCTGACCTTGTCTCTTCCCTCACCTGTAGGTGATGTACTATTCACTGTGTAATACCTGTCACTGTGGGTCATGGCACCTCTTTCTCTCCTAGCATTTCAGTGAGGACACCATATAAACATGGGAGTGAGCTGACCCTTCCTCCCTCCCCTGGACTTTGAGTTCACAGGCCCTGATGTGACCCCAGAGGACAAGTGGTGGGGTTAGGAGGGAGGTTTTGAATCAGGCTTTTCTGGGACCATATGTTGAGCTTGCTGTCTATCAGCCTGGTGCACATAGGAACTTTGCTTACCTCTTACTCCCTCAATTCCCTGTCCTCAACATGAGGGTAACAGCACCATCTCATAAGGTTTTGAAGGTTTAGGAGGAATATCAACATGACAGGTAAGGTGATGCGTGGTAAAGTTATGGACTTATAAACCGCGGGAGAGACTTTTGTTAGATGTCAGAACAAACTTGTGGAAGGACTGGGTGATGCCCAAACAGAGACCAGGCTGCCTTTCAGAGTCCCATCTTCATTAAGTTCAGATACCGAGTGTTCTCTACCTCAATTCCTGTGCTTTTAAGACAATCCATTGTCTACCCTAACCCAGCCCTAGGTTTCCTTACCCAGAGGATGATGCTCTAGAATAGTGCAATCACTTGGGTGTTGCCTAAGATTTTATTGGAAGATGATGAGCACACACTCCTAGGTGTGTCCCACCCACCTGAGTCAGGTAATGGTCCAGGAAACAGAGAAAGAACATGGCCTAAGGGCTCCCAGTGCCTAGGAGGAGCCAGACTGAGCCTTATAAATGGACCAGTCCTTGTCCAGATGCACAGCACACTCACCTTCTCCTCAGTGACACCTCTTCAGCTCCGGTAAGTCTGCACCTAACTGTTTGCCAGGGGGTTCATCAGGGCCCAGGGTGTTCTTCTGTGTCCAGGAATAGGGAGAGCGGTGATGGGAGCGGATTCAGGAACCTGTATCCACTCTCAACTCTGCCTGTTATGGGTCTATCCAACTTGATCCCACTTGGTCCCAAGGGTCTATCTACAACAAGATGTCTGTTCTGATGCTCCCATTGCTCTGTTGGTTCTTCTGTGACAACTCTGTTGAAATGTCCCGGTGGGAGCTCAGTATAAGAACCTTCCTCTGCTCCTTGTCTTCTTTTCTCTCTGGAATCAGCTAAGACCTTGGCCAAGATGACAGAAGGCCTTATGTGTTTTCACTTAGGGACATAACAGGGAGGATCTTTCTCCCATATCAGGAGACAATGGCAGTTTTTGTTCGATGCCCACACATGGGAGCTATACACATTTCTTGAGAGTTTGGAAAAGTCTGAGTGTGAGGGCTGCACTGTCCCATTTCTCTGCTTGGAGTCCAGACTGTTGATGGAGGTACTGGCTTTGGGAAGTCAGACCGCTTTACTTAAATGTGATCTAGCCTTGAGGTTCCAGATAGCAGGGAGGTACAAAGGTAATATGAAGGAGCCTATCTCCCCACATTCTACCCATTAGCCTAAAACTGAGGCAGGTATTTCTGTTTATTTCAAACATGATGCCAATTCTGTTCAGCAGTCCCTTTTTCCCCACTGGTGGGGATGGTCCAGGAAAACCTCCGTGGGAACTCAGGACAGGGCTGTGCTTCTCTGTTCACACTCACCATCCTACTCCACTCCCCGCTGGGAGCCTCCAGGGCCCATTTCATTTAGAACTTGCTTTATGTTCAGGATGGGCTCCTCTGGGATCTTGTTCCAAGAGCAGCCCAGGGTGGGTCAGACCAGACTAGTCAGGAAGTTATTTTGTCTCGGTGACTCCAACCTTGATGATGACCCTGGAGGAGATGGATTTGATGTTCTTTGAAGAGTGGAGTCATCCTTAGTTGGCTCAGGTCCCAACTAAAGACTTCAGTCCTTTTCCGTGTGGTTGACCCCTACCCTCTCTGCTTCTGCCTCCTGTCGTTCTGTCCACAGTGGGTTTTTTTATTCTCTCTACCTCCTCTGGGACCTGACCTGCATGTGTCCAGGCCCCAGCCTTGGTCACACTATCCTCCTTATGAACATCTCATCCTACCTCCTAGGATGATACAGCTCCTTCTGCTCCTAACTGAGGCTCACTTCACTGGATCCTCAGTTCCCACCCCATTTTCCTGACTTAGGGACCCTCACCTGGGGAGAAGGATAACTAAGGTCCCCGTCTTTCTCTCTGGCAGCTTCCTTGAAAACCAAGATGAGCCATACTCCAGTTGAACAGTCCGTGATGGACTTGATCGTCCTGTTCCACAAATACACCAAACCTGATGACAAGATTGACAAGCGGGGCCTGCTGAAGATGCTGAGGGAGAATTTCCCTAACTTCCTCAAGGCTTGTGTGAGTCTGGGTGACTTCTCCAGGTTGCTTGGGCCCTGGCATAGGGGAGGACTTTGGACCAGTCAATCCCATTCTCTGATCCTCAATATTCTCATCTGCAAAAAGGCCTAAGAGGACTCTCCTGACTTATTATCAGGATGAAAGAGATGATACATGTGGCCAAGTGTAAAGGCATCTGGAGATCAAGGGTAGTTATCAGGTGGTGAAATAGGAGAGTAAAGAATGGGTCCCCTCCCACTTGTCACTCTCCATCCAGGAGATTGAAGCCCATAGGCTCAGGCTCTGCCTCCAGAAGCCGCCATTAGGTTCTCTGAGATCCAAGGGAAGGTGATAGACATCCCATGGCTGATAAAATTTAACACCTTTCATTACAATGAAAGAGCTCATCCATAGAGCTGATTTAGTCTGACAGTTAGAATATACTGAACTGATTACAAAAAGAGAGGTTGCTAAGTGACACAGAGAGTAGGTGAGCAAAAGAGGGCACTGAGCATGGAAGATTGAGGAAGGCAAATAGGAGATAGGAGAGGAGGGTTAGGAATGAAGACATAAGGGGTAGGGCCTATCTCTAGTTTCTGGGTAGAACTTAGGTAGATGGGGTTCTGGAAGTGGGTCCGAGGAGCAGGTCTGGGTCTAAAGACCACCGAACCACCACCTCATTGATCATTGAGGATCTGGGCTGAGTCTGCCCACCACCACTAGGTCTCTCTTTCATGCTGATACTTGATCCAAGGCAAATTTCTCAGTGAATTGCTGGATAGTGCTAATGTCCCTCTCATTCCCAGATGCCCTCAGCTGGTACACACCAGCTACACCTGTGGGGCCACAGATGCTTCTCTCCCCCTTTTTGCCTCCTCCTCCTGTTCTATTCATAACACTTTTGAAACTGAATTTATGTTTTCCACAGGAAAAAAAGGGCAAACATTTCTTGGCCCATATCTTTGAGGACGAGGACAAGAATCACGATAAGAAGATCGAGTTTTCTGAGTTTCTGTCGGTGTTGGGAGTCATAGCCACGGACTACCACATTGGGCGATATCTTTGAGAACAAGGACAAGAACATGGATAAGAAGATCTCCTTTATTGAGTTTCTGTCGGTGTTGGGAGTCCTAGCTGTGGACTACCATGATAATAGCCACGGAGCCCCACTCTGTTCTGGTGGGGGAGGACAGTGAGTCCAGCCCAGCCTGAGGCCTCCAGAAACCAAAGGAAACAATAAAGTGTCTCTTTTGCCCAGATAAAACCTGTTTCCTGCTTTTCTTTGGCTACTTATGCTGTCAAAGCTTCTAGGTGAATATAATTGTGGGTTCTCCATGCGGGGACTTATCCAAGAATGTGCCAGGAGGGTTCCCTCCCTTTGGCCCCCAGCATAACTGACCACCTCTCTCAGCAGGGCCTCTGTCCACCTCTGCCCCTGCTCCCTAGTGCAGCCAGCGTGCCAGGTCCCAGGGTCAGCAGTGCAGAGCATTCTGCTGGCCCAGCCATGCTTTTCCTTCTCAAGCCACAATCAGCATCGGGCGATCCAGGAACTGCAGGGAGCAGGAGCTGAGGGAGGTGTGAACATGGTGCCTCGTGCCCCTGCACTCCTGCCCAGCATGACCCCAAGGACATAGGGGAGTTGGCACCACTGAAGTAGGCATTGGGTGGTGGCCTTTGGGGGCACATAGGCACTGGTCACTGTGAAAGGGACACTCAGCAGCCCAGAGGATGGGATCCCTTGTCCTGTGTCCTGGGCTTCTGGGCTGTGTCCTGTCCCTGTGCGTGTGTGTGACTGTGCGTGTGTGTGTGTGTGTGTGTGTGTGTTTTATCCTGTGTGGTGTCCTTGTGGAGGTGAGAGAGCCGCCTGTCTGCTGAGCTGATCCTCTCAATGGTTTGCTAAATGCTGGGAGCTGGGTGTCTGGGGAAAGCACAGAGTGATGGCTGTTCCAGGCATGAGGAGTAAAGCTAGCACTGGAGTCCAGAGAGTGGGTAGCAAGTGAGAAGACAGGACCGAAGAGGCGAGGGGAGGAGAGGGCAGGGAATGATGAGCAGAAAGCTCATGCTGAGTCATCAGTGACAGTCCACTCCACTAGCCATGGAAAGAGGCGTGCCATTACCCACACAGGGCCCTTCACATCTGCCTCTCTCCTTCTTGGATCTACAGAACCAGCTCACACCTGGAGCACTGGGCCCAGCTGCTCCTTTCAGAGCTGGAGCACCATAAGCCCACAGAGGTAGATGCAGAGGATGAGGAGGCCTGGGGGTGGATGGTGTGGGTTTGTGGGGGGCTAAGCCACACAGAAGAGCTTCCAGAAGCTAGGGTTAGGCAAGTATAGAGTTGCTCTGATCACAGTCCCCATGGCCTGCAGTCTGGGAGGACTTCCTGGGGTGGGCTCTGGAAATGGGACTCCATCAATGGATAGCAGAGATGTTCTGTCTTTAGAAGGCACATTGAGGTAGTCATGGCGATAACATGTTCTCTTCTGGGATCTACAGAACTAGCTCCAGAGCAAGTTCAAAAAAGACCTCGAGAGGAAACACCAACTCCAGTCCCCTCCCCAGAGTCAGAGCGGGCTCTGGGTACAGCTTTCACTGACCTTCACAAGGCAAAACAACCACCTCCAGTGTGTGGGCAACTCGCTTCAGCTCCTGTGAAGTCTGCAGTCCCAGATCATGGGCCACAGCGTGTCACAGGCCACGGCAGAGAGGGCTCCCCCTTTAGATACAGTTTTTCAACGTTTGTGTTTATGTTACATATGCTTAGAATTCAATTGTATTTTTCTGATACTACTGAGTAAAATACAATCTACTTTAAAGAAAATGGAATGAAATATAATTAAAACTAAATTTAAGTTAAATCAAATTTAACTATGAACCTTCAGAGTGTTGTGCAAATCCATTTTTTCTGGGCCTCAGTCCTGTTATTATGAGTTATAGGCTGGGAATAGGTTATCTCTGAGAAGCTATCTAGCTCTAAGATTGTGGCATTCTTGAGACTGGAGACAATGGGGCTCTGGTGGAATTGACCAATGTGCATTTGCACAGCGACCCTTTAAGTCAGGGCTCTCCCTCGGTGACCATATTTCATTTGACTTTGTCTTTACCAGCACATGGGAAAATTATGTTCTTAACCCCCCAGCTCCAGCTTCCATTTTATAGAAAGTTGTAGGGTTTAACCAACAGAAAAAATTTCCTGAACACTGCACCTGGGATAGAAACTCCACCCT